ATTGACTGAAGAGAATTTAAGATGGCAACTAAGTGTATGAAAAGATGCTCATAATGATTCATCATTAGAGAAGTGCAAGAAAACTACAGTGAGATGTCACGGCATGCCTCTGAGAGTCACTGGAATAAAAAGTGGTGACAACACCAGAAGCTGGCGAGAACGTAGGGAGACCAGCGCATTCACACACGGCGAGTGGGGACGGAAAAGGGGGCAGCTACTCTGGAGAAATCTGGCAGTTTCTTATACAACTAAACTTGCTCAAATTCCACATGGCCTGGCAGTGGCACTCAGGCAGCACTTATCCCAGAGAAATGAAGACTTAGGTTCATAGAAAACACTTGTACGTGAGTGTTCATAGCAGCCTATTTGTAATAGCCCCAAACTGGAAACAACCCAGTATCCTTGACTAGGTGAATCCTTCAACAAGCTGGTATGTCCATGTCATGGAATACTACTTAGCCATAGAAAGGAACAAATTATTGGCAAACATAGCAGCTTGGATGGATCTCCAGAGAATCATGCTGAGTGAAAAAAAGCCAGTTACAAAGGTTATATAGTGTATGGCTATCTTTATGCAACGTTTGTGGGATAACAACATTATAGAAATGGAGAGCAGATTCATGCTTGCTAAGGGTTAGGGACAGGAGCAGAGGTAGGAGATGGGTGGGCACAGTTATAAAGGGCAACAGGGATCTCTGTGGTGATGGAGTGTCCTGTAGCTTGACTTTGGTGGTGGTCACTTGAATCTACTCATGGGATACAATTGTGTAGGACCAAATGCAGACACATGGAGATGGATGGTGGTGATGGTTGCACAACATGAAGGTGTTTAATATTACTGACCTGTGCATTTAAAATTGTCAAAATGGTGAATTTTGTTATGTGTATTTCACCATAATTAAAAAAAGGAAAAGAAAGGTATTTCTTTAAAAAAAAAACACACCTTTATTGATTTCAGAGAGAGGAAGGGAGAGGGAGAGAGAGAAATAGAGACATCAGTGATGAGAGAGTTGTCATTGATTGTCATTGATTGGCCTCCTGCACGCGCCCCCGACTGGGGATCGAGCCCACAACCCAGGCATGTGCCCTGACCGGGAATCAAATTGCAATCTCCTGGATCCTGGATCGATATGCTCAACTTCTGAACCACGCCCAGCCGGGCTCTTTTATTCTTTTTAATCCTCGCTTGAGGATATTTTTTTCATTGCTTTTCAGAGAGAGTGGAAAGAAGAGACAGAGAGAGAGAGAAACATCGATATGAGAGAGATACATCGATTGGTTGCCTCCTGCACATGCCCCAACTGGGGCCAGAGATCAAGCCTGCAACTGAGTGAGGTACTTGCCCTTGGCGGGAATCAAACCTGGGGCCCTTCGTCAAACCTGGGGCCCTTCATCATACCTGGGGCCCTTCATCAAACCTGAGACCCTTCATCAAACCTGGAACCCTTCAGTCCGCGGGCTGATGCTCTAACCACTGAGCCAAACCAGCCAGGATAAGAAAGGTATTTCTGAAGCATTGAGAAATTAGCAGGCCTATAAATTTGTGCTTATCAAGCAACCTCTTTCTTTTTTAAAATTTCCAACCCGTTGTGTAACAACATGTGGCCCTACTGTGTATGATGGATCACTGTGTGGTTCTGGCCTTGTCTATTTACTGCTCAAGGTGAGAAGTCCATCAGTCATGTTCTTGAATGTTGCAGTGATGCACAGACACTCTCCATGCCTGTAGTTTTCTTATCACAGACGGGTAACAAGGAGTTGCATGAACCACATTTGGACAAGTGTCTGAATCAAAGCTTCGATGTATAGCCCTGTAAGAACTTCACAGAGAGGTAGTTTAGAATAAGTGTGGCAGGGCGGTGTCGTTTGTGGCTTCAGGAGCTAACACCAGGACCCTTCATTGGTGTTGTGGGTGCGTATCCTTTATTGGCTGCCCGTAATCTGATTTTCTGCTGAGCTTCTGGAGGAGCTCTCATGCTGCAAGGGGAAAGTGTCAGCACTTGGCCTCTCAGGTTCCTTTGCAGGTGGGCTGGGTGCCTTACCTCCATTCTACTCTCACATCCATCTGCCCCAGAGTCCTTGGGATGCTGGGAGTGTGAGGGACTCTCTCTGCTGCAGCGACGGCAAGGTCAAGGCTAGGGGGCCGCATGACTGCAGGGCTCCTGGTGGGGCCCAGCGGTCAGTTACAGCTGGGTTTGTGCTCAGTTTCCAGTATCCAGCAGCCAGGGCAACATTGTCTGCACTACCATTTGCATCAAAACTTTGGGCATCTTTCCGGACTATTTTTCCCTCACCCTGGTTCCCCAGCCTTCTGCTTGTTATGTTCAAGGAAAACAAGTTGGCAGATGTAGAAAAGTTTAAGGAAGAAAAGTAAAATCACTAGTCACACCATTGCCAAGAAATAATGTTTTAGTGGGTTTCTTTTATAAATATTTTTGTTCTATGTAAATACGTTTTTTAACAAACATTATTTTACATTCTTTTTTTCCCCCCCTTCACATTCTACTATTTCCGTTTAGTGGCAATTGTATGCAAACATGATTTTAAATATTTGCATAATGGGTTAAATGTACCAACGATCTGTAATTGTTAGCGACTTGGACAATTTAGTCTTAAGTAGGCATTTGTTTATTTATAGAATTATTTATTATTTACTTATGTACATAATATTATTTTTATATACAAATATAAACTAAAAATGACCCATAATCTCACCATGTAATCCGGGTTGGCATTAAATTATTAATAAAATCCACATGGTTAGAAAATTGAAGCCGAAAAACTACAGAAATTTACAAAAATGAAAAACAGAAGCTCCTTTCTACCTTCTGCACCTTAGATCTTTTCCCCCAAAGTTAAGCACTGTAAAAATTTCTTGTGTTTTTCCCCAGAAAATGTTTTAATTTCAGTAGCTACATAACTGTGCGCACTTACAGATTTATTTTTTATTTACACGAGAGACACTATTTCCCACACTGTCCTGCACCTTGTGTTTCTCTATTAAGAATCTTTCTTGGACAACTTTGGGCAGCATTTCTTAAAACGGTGCGTCCCTTGCTCTGTAAATGTGTCTCCAATTCCGGATCTGTTACTCAGTCCTGCCTGCGATATCATCGCTCCTCTGCTGGGTTCTTAGATGTGAGATAATAGATATGTCACTTGCATGTCCCTGGGTCTCACCAGCCCACATTTTTTTCAGTTCTTAGCTCCTACCTACATACTTATAGGACCTCTAACCCTCAACCTCCTTGGTCTTCCTGGTAATTTGGGGGAGGCCCCAGAGTTCTCACACAGGCTCACAGCCAGACTTCTTTAGCCTCTATTTCCAGAGCCGAAGTCCCTTGAAATCTGTGCCTACCACTGCTCCAGGACAGATACCCGAGAGAAGGTCCCCTCTTCCCTGCCCAGGGCACCGTCTTCCAGGTTGGACGAGGTGTGTCTAATCGGTTTGCTTGGAACCAGGATGGATTTGCACACAGAAGTGCATGCAAATGTATCTGTGGGTGTGGGTGTACTCGCAACAATAACATGCCCTGTGTGAAGTCAGTCCTCTTGGTTGGTGGCTTCTTCTATATAACCATCATTTTGACGCGTAACCGTCCATATTCTTGCTCCCTCATATATTTGCTTACGGTGCTGTGTAATTTCGAATAACTATGAACACTTGTCTGGAGCGGGGNTTGGCTTCTTCTATACAACAACCATCATTTTGATGCGTAACCGTCCATATTCTTGCTCCCTCATATATTTGCTTACGGTGCTGTGTAATTTCGAATAACTATGAACACTTGTCTGGAGCGGGGGAAGCCTTTGCTTTGGCTGCAGATGCTTGTGTTTTTCCCGTTTTCCACCGAGGGACTGGATTCTCACGGTGCTGGCTGGAGAGGAACTCACTGCATTTGGATGCGGGAGAAGGTCAATTATTTGATCTGTAACCTGAGTTTCAAGGCAGAATGTGTGCCTCAAGGCAGGAAACAGGTCTTATCAAAAAGATACGCTGGGGGGGAAAAAGCGAAGGGAAGAAAGAGGCAGAAAGGAAGGAAGGAGGGAAGGAAGGAAGGAAGGAAGGAAGGAAGGAAGGAAGGAGACAAAGTTCATCTCTGCTCTCCCACGGCCTCTGGAAAAATTCGCCAAGTCTCGCCCTGCAGCCTGAGGGTCAGCAGCGTCACTGTCTATTCAGAACCCTTCATGCCGCTACTGCTGCCACCTCGGCAGTCACCCTCTCCTCCTCATTATCGCTGCGACTCCTGTCATTATTTGTAGTGCCACCCCAGATTCATGCTAAATGAATCGAGTAATCCAAAAATTTGCTTGAGTCACACATTGTGAAACATGCCTCTGGAATGATTTCCTGAGAAAGCCTGGGTGCAGAATACAAATATTTTGAATGGACTTATCTTAGAGTTGTACTGCTATTTTTCCCTGTCATTTTAAAACCCTTAATACGAATAAATTGTTTGTACAGTGGAGTTTTTTTTTAATCCTTAGATAAGAAATACGGGGTTTGAAAGCCGAGAATAAAAACATGAATGATAGTGCGCAGTGCCCGCTGGAAGGTCCTGGCTGCTGCTCCCGGGCAGGCGTTATAATCGGCTACTCGGCGTGTTTATTTCAGGCCGCAGATAGGGGATGAAAGTGCCTGGTGGGTTGCCAGCGCATGACTTACTTGCCAAATGGAGTGTTTAGTACTTGTTACATTTGATTTATATCACAAGTTCTTCCCATTAACAGTCTACTGGTGATAACCTACTTGGCTTTTCATGTGGTTACTTTGAAACAGCCACTTGACAACATTTGGCGTCTCGCAAAGTTGCACACTGAGCACAGGAGCGAGTGAGTGACGACACGGGCTCTGCTGTGGCCCGAGGGCGCTCCGTGCGCCCCGAGAGACCACATCCTGGGTGCGTGGCCCCGACTCACTGCGCCACGGGAGGTCTGTGGACCTGGGACTTGCAGGGCTGGTGAAAGGGACAGAAACAGAAGGAAATGGCAGTGCTTACATGTCGAAGGGCTTGATGCATGTGGAGGTAGATGCTCTGCTCACCTGTAGTACCGTTTACAGGCAGGTTTGAATTGTGTGGCAGCGTGAAACCTCCTAACGCTGACAGCTTCCGTAACCTCAAATCTATTTTTTTTTTTTTTTTTAACAAGTTCACTTCAGGGATCTTGGCCCTAGGATATGTGATAACATGTGCATTAAATCTGGTGATCTTTACTTTCAGATCGAAAACTTGCAAGAGCAACTTAGGGATAAAGACAAGCAACTGACCAACCTGAAGGACAGAGTGAAGTCCCTGCAGACAGACTCCAGTAACACAGACACTGCCCTGGCGACGCTCGAGGAGGCTTTGTCGGAGAAGGTGAGCGTGGACTGAAGAGCGGGCGCCAGGGTGTAGGGAACCGTGGCTGGGAGGAGATGCTCCCGATGCACTTAAAGGGGCCTGCTTTCCTCCAGGCACTCACACCGCCCTCGGTGCCCGCGGGCTGCCCACCCCCGCGCGAGCCCTCTTCACAGCCTTGGCACACCGACGCCCAGGGTGTCGTTTGGAAATGCAAACCCGAGCACCTCACCCTTGGCCCTGCTTAAAAACCTTCGCTCGCTCATCACTGTTCTTAGGGCAATAAAAAGGAAAACCCTTAACCCGGCCCATAGGGTCCATCCCTTCATCTGAACTGGCTCTTATCTGACCAGCCACCTCTCTGCTCGTCTTACTCCACTTTCTCTACCACCCTTCTCCCCTTCCCTCCTCCCTCTAATTCTTGCCCACTCCCTCCCCTCCTTCCTTCTGTCTTCCCTCTCACCTTCCTTTCTAGCCTCCCCCCATCTCTCCTCCCTTGTTCTCTGTGTGCTAGCTACATTGGCCTTCTAGATGCTCAAGTGTACCGTGCTCCATCCTGCCTCAGGCCCTTTGCACATGCTATTCCTGAACCTAGGGTGTTCTTTGCTCTCTGCAGACTTAATTCCTCCTCTTCTGAGAGCTCAGTTTCCTGAGAAGCTCTCTTGCCCAGTAGTTAAGAATGTGGACATTGGAGTCACACTGCCTGGCTTCAGATCCCAGGCGGGACATTCACTACCTCGGACAAGTTACTTTACCTTTTACTGACTCAGTTTCTTCCTCAGTTCTTGTTTAGAAAAATAGGTATAAATAAATTATAGCTGTTGCTATTATTATTATTATTTTACTGGTCATCTTCTCAGGGAAGCCTCTTAGGTAAAATCCTTCATTACATTCCCATGAATGTGTGAACTTCCCAGAGCTCACGTCGCAATCTTAAATGTGCTTTTATCTGTTTTTATGTAATGAGTTGGTCATCTCTGCTAGACTCCAAACCCAAGAAGTATACCCATATTTGTGTGTGTGTTTTTAAATTTAAAAAAAAAAGGAGCTAAATAATATAGGAGATAAAAAAAGAGTCATATTCTATGGTTAGATAGTCTTCATGTTCCTATTAAAAGTTATAAGATTATAACTTTAGGATTAAATGATAAGATAAACAATTTTAGTTGAAGATTTATAAGAAGAGTAAATAGAATGATTTTTCAGTGAAAGATATCCTTCTGGTTTTAGTTTTCAAGATTCTACTACCAATGCTCTCTGCAGTGATTTTGTTTGTAAAATCTGAATGAGGGAATGTTGGTTCAAAACTATTAGTAATTATGTATCCTTTTTGCAATTTTTGAGTGATAGGATATCAGCCTATTTGTTTTCTTTCTCCAAGTTTACAGAAGTGAACCTACACCCTCTGATTTTCCATATCGTGCATTCTTGGCAGGATCTTATCCTGTTTTCCCCCGGCCCTATTACGGTTTGATTTATGCTAGTTTAAATCCCAAAGAATTCCCAAATCTGAAACTACTCCCTTCCTCCAGCACTTCCTCTGAGGCCGAGGGGGTAACTGGGAAGGAAGCTGAGGTCTGTGGAGGCTGGCCCCTCAAGCTGCCTCCACTACTTGATAATAGCATTAAGTGGGCCGGCTTCCTCGGTCGGCATCTCTCAGTACCTTGTGTTCAAAATGCATGTTTCAACGAGCTGATCTCTGAGTTCCACTCTTCTTTGGAACTGCCTTGACCGTAATTGTTCAGTCTGCGGATCCTCAGGCTCAGGCCCATGAACTCTGAATTGGACCATAGATGAGCTGAGAGCTCAGGTGCCTCAAAGGGCCCGGCAGGGAGCAAGCGGGAGGGAAGTGGGTTTGCTGTGATGCATCAGAGACTGTTGGCGACCTTGGCGAGCTGGAGAGTCCTTGACCTGTCTCAAAACATTCAAGTTCAGATTTTTAAAAATTATGATGCTCAAGCCAAACAAAATAGCTCTGCGGGCCAGCTTTGACCTGTGAGCTGCTCGCTTGCCAACCCTATTTGCATCTACTTTTTTGCCTTTCACAGTAATGAAGAGTGAAAGCAAACAGAGCAATTTATTTAGAGGAAGTTTGCAAATGGTGCCATAACCACAATGCTAGAGTATCTGAAGAGCACAGACAAAAACACTGGGTAGGAAAAGGCAAGGTCTTCTATCATGGGACAAAGAATACTAGATTTAAGTATTTATTCCAATGGGTATCAAACTTCTGTGTGCATCCAGATAATCTTATCCTTTATGGAGGTTCTTAAAATATAGTTTCCTGGGTTCCATTTCCTGGTGATTCTGGCTCAGTTGCCATGCTGTGGGGCCCGGGAACCTGTGGTTTTTAACAAGCATGCCCAGTGATTCTGATGCATGTGGTCAGGAGACCACACTTTGAGAAACACAAAATCTATGCTTTTTCATCTTAAAGATTGGCAGAGGGCTCAGTGAGGTAAAATGACTTGCCCAGAAATAAAGATTTTGGACATGTGCAACACCATTTGCCCTTTCTGAGCCCTGGGCAGATCATTAATCGGCTGTGGCACAAGCTACCTTCTCACCTAGCACTCTCGGAGGTCCCTTAGGCTCTAAGTGGGCCCTTGGTTGGGACTTTGTGGCCAGGTCTTTGTTCCCTACCCCGTGTTATGCTAAGGCTGCCCAGCTCACAGATGATGGAATAGGACCGACTCTCAAACCTTCTGATCTTTGTGCTTTTGACATCACTGTGTCCTTAATGGCCTTTCCCTCACGAGTTCTAATTTTATCCACATAGAACTGAGTAGATCCTCTGGAACAAGACATGGTGCAGAAAAGAAAATGATTGATTGAAAATTATGGAGTTATAAGAACATTGAACTGTTTGCTGCCTTTTGGCTAGTGACTAGAACCTGTTAGGCATACTCACCATTTCACTTGGATCATCATATCCCAGGGAGTGTGTGATTCCTTTTAACTTCCAGGAACTTACTCAAATATTCAGAGTGTGCAAAAAATAATGCCACTTAACAAGTTAAGATTGAGTATGACTTAGTCCTAGGATTGACACACAGAAGCCCAGCAGACAGAACCCCTGGTGTTTATAGAGCTGGTCTCCCAAGCCTTGCTGTAGCCACATGGCAGATAAGCAGTGGAGAAAGCCAGATAGCGGAGCCGGAGGCCACTGTAGTTCAGTTCCACCCAGTGATAAAGCACAAATAGATTAGACCGCGCAGAGCCAGATGAGTGCACAAGGAACACTTGCCAATGCAAATAAGACTAAAACAAGAACACATTGTTGGAATTTCTACAAGTTAGCTGTTAATCAAGTAGATCATGGCATATTAGGGCTTTTTAACACATGTTTTTGACATCTGGCCCTGTGCGGCTGACAGTTAAATTAGTTTTGTGATTGACGGAGAAATATTTTGGAGGATTGAATCATCAATAACACTTAAAAACGTTATACTGCTTGCTGATTTTTTTTGTCATCAATGCCCAGTCAATAGTACAAGTGCTTAGAGCAAATCAACCTACTCTCCAAACGCCTCGGACACCTTCCGGATGTTAACACACATACTTAGTTTTATTTCCCTTCCTTTGAAGACAAGATGATCCCTAACTTGATTTCTTATTTCTTCCGTCAGCCTTTTTAATTGCCTGTTGTATGCCAGACAGTTTGCCCAGCCCTTTGGATCTGAGCGCTGCCCTTTGAAAGGCTGGCCTGGGAGGATGGGCATGCAGCCAGCCACGTGAAGGATGCTGAGTGGGAATAAATGCCACATGATCGGGCCAGAGTGATTCTCGGGAAGGTTTCCAAATAGTGAGGTGACACAGTCAGTTTGGGGCTTTAAAAATGTCACTCCAACAGCCATGCGGTGGAAGTGATGAGATGGAGAGGGCCTGGTGGCCAGGTGACCAGCTCTGAGGCTTTTGTGGTAAGTGTAGGCTAAAGGCAGTGAGGGCTTGGTTGCTGAAGTCGTTATAAGCCCTTGAGAGACTTACCATGCTCTGAGGCCATTTCCTTCTTCTGTAGATCACATAATCATCCCCTCACCAGTGTCACAGACAGAGTAAAATAGCCCTGAAACCGGAATTGAGAAGAAAGAAATACAGGCGATTAATGACTCATTTGTTCTATTTCCACCCCCACTGTTGTAACAATATACTTCATTTTAAAGTATTTTTAAATAATTGCAAAACAATAATGGTACTTTTTCCCCCCTTGAAAGCATTAGATACATAAATTATTGTCATTGAGGTAGAACCGTTGCTTCCCTGGGGGATCTTAAATCACAGACTAAGTGTTCCAACCAACTTCCCTCTGCATTAAACACTATTTTACAGTTGTCTTATGTATCAGGAATTGTCTTGTACTATGTTCTTATTAGAACAGAAAAGATAACATCAGGATATTTAAGCGTCATTGCTGCACTAATATGTTTTAACGATGCTATTGAAAAGGAAGTTCAGATATGTGTTGGGTAATTTGAAACAAATTTTAGAAATCTAACTCAGACTTGTCCCAAGTGGAATTTTCCTTAAAAGAAAAAGAAAGCTCTTATTTTGATATCACTTAAGGTTGCACAGTTTGGGAAATGTGTCTACCAGAGTAGTATTTTTATTTCAGTATGAAAGTCATGGGCAGACAGGTCTTCCGATCTCGTTGAGTGGCTCCAGGCGTATGGTGGTGTCAGTGTGGTCTCATGGGTTCGGCTAAGACTAAGAGAGCACTGGGTGACAGCCTGGGCCTTCTGGTTGTGAGCTGGGTCGCCTTGGATGAGTTGGCTGGCCTTTCTGGGCCTGGGTTTCCTCACTTCCCCGGGCCCAGTGGCGGTGGTTCAGACCTCACTGGCTGGATGAGGGCTGGGGCCCGTCCCAGTGCCACACACAGTAAGTTCTCGGCAAAGGGAAGCTGTGATGGGAACTTGGTTCAAGCTTGAGCAGTGTCAGAGTCTCTGCGGATTGCCAGTAAGTCACTGAAAAAACCTGGAAGTAAATAAACGTCTCCAGACTCATTGGCAAATCACTTACACAATTAGCTTGTTCTTTGTTTCAAGTTCTCACTGTGAGCCAGTCCTAAGTCCTGCCCCACTTCCACCCACTTTCTCGTCAGAGAAGAATTCTTCAGAAACCAAGGAAAGCTCTTTGACGTGAGGTGGGAAAGCCGAGCAAAGAGGGCTGAGCCTCAAGGGTGCTTCTGCTTCCTTTGCCGCCTCGACAAGGCCTCGGCAGGTCCAGAGTCTTGGCGCCCGAGCTTCCCTCTCCTGGAATTGCTCTTGAAGTTTTCTAAGCACCACCGCGAACCAAAAACAGCCTCCGAGCTTGACCGCGAATATCCCTTGAGACACTATGACGCTAACTTTTATTGACAAGCTAAAAGCCGTATCGATCATCTGTTATGTCTCTCTTCACAAACCAATTTTTCATCCTGTGTATTGATTCTGTAGAGGATTTCTTACATGTACTGTCTCCTTTCTTTCTGTAGCATGCCTTGGCATACATACCGATGGGTTCTCACCTCTTCTTTTTTTTTGACAATTGCCTCGCAGGAAAGAATAATTGAGCGTTTGAAAGAACAGCGGGAGAGAGATGATCGGGAAAGACTAGAAGAAATAGAATCTTTCCGAAAAGAGAACAAAGACCTGAAAGAGAAGGTCAATGCTTTACAAGCTGAGCTGACTGAAAAAGAGGTGAGTCTGGAGAAACAAACGAACCCATATTCATGGCAGCCCCAAGAGACCAGAGTCTTAGTTGGAGGGCCTGTGTGAAGGCCTGGGGAACATAGTTACCCTTCTTTTGCTAAGGTGTCTGAATTCAAAGGAAAATATTTACCCTAACCCTCTTCCTCGGTGATGCTCAATGCAGATCTTCTCTGCTAACTGCATATGATGTCACTCCCTGAAACTCTTCTCGATGTCTTATCACATTTGACTGGCCTAGAGGATTCTATCTTTTCTCAATGTCCCATGATTTTTGGTTTGAGATAACAACAAAAGCATTAATAGTAATAATAACAGCTCCACTTTATTGAAGTCCTTTTATGTGCTTGTCTCTGGGTTGGGTGATTTACGTTCATCTTTGATTCTCAGCTGTATCACTCAATACCCCAGGTTAAGAGATGTGGTGCTGGGCTGGACACAAAGGCATAGGTTCAACGTGAATGCTCTTCTAGGACATCATTTTCAGATTATGGTTAATAATTTAAAACGATATTTTCATGTTAGAGCAAACATGGATACAGAAAACAGATCTCACCTACATTTTTATATTAAAACAATATACTTTTAAGGAAATTTCTTCTTGGGGGTTATGGAGAGAATGCCTTGGGCTATAGCCCTATACTCTGAGGGACACCTATAACCCTTTAGTCACTTAGGACGCTTTGGTGAGGAGGTTTGAAAAGCAGCAATGCACATTATTTTATTCAATCTCCAAAACTCTGAGATATGTGCCATTGTCTACAACTGGTCCCTTCACCCTTATCTTTGTTGGCAGGAAATGCCCATCTCCTTTAGGGCTGTCCCAGATTCTTGCACTCTGCTGGGCTGTGTCACTGTTGAGCCATCCATTTCCCAGCTGCAAAGTGTTACCTCAACCAATGGGCTTTGATAATTCTATATGCATTAAAGTACAGTCTAAATTAGGAATTTAAGATGGGAAGAATAAATGGACGAGTAATAGAAGTTTTGAGGAAACTCAGAAGCAAAATTTATACTCCCTAAAATTAGAATTTAAGTGTTTAGAGAACAGATTACTGTTTCAATATGAAAATAAAGAATGTAAGTCTTCTTCCTACTGTTTCCCTGATAATCCAACTCGGGGATCTGCAATTACTGTAGTTGACATGTGACAGAGGCACAGAGCTTTGACCCATTTGTAGCATTCTTCGCTGATAACAAGTGTTCTTCATGGGTTTACACCTTGAAGCACACACACATGCACACATGCACGCACAACCCTCATTGAAAGGAGATCTTGATGACATGGCAGAGCATGAGTGCTAAATGAAAATAATTTTGTAAACAATGCCCACACTGTACGGATTTCAGACAGGCATTTCAGCAAACATTTATTGTTCCTGTATAATAATATGCCTGCCACCGGGCCGGGTGTGCCAGTCAAGCTTGCACCAGAGAAACAGAACTGTATTAAGAAATATAACCATATTAAGAAATTTATTGCAGGGAATTGGCTTACATAGTTAAGGGGCTGGCTAGGCAAGTCCAGAAGTCACAGGGCGGGCCATTGGGAAAGGCAGGCTGGGGACTGCAGATGGTGGCTCACGCTGCAGGCCACAGGTGGAATTCCTTCTGTCGCAGGGAAACCTCAGTTCTGCTCATAAGGCCTGAGATCCACTGATAGGATCAGACCCACCCAGATGATGGAGAATATCCTTTACTTAAAGTCAACTGACTGTAGATGTTAGTCATATCCACAAAAGCCCTTCACAGCAACACCCAGATTGGTGTCTGATTGAATAACTGAGGACAACCGTCTAGGCAAGTTGACACGCAAAGCTAACACGGCCAGCAGTTTAAAAGTTATCAGGGAAACAACATATAATTGTTGTCAGCGGGGAGCGTATAATTTAGATGGGGTGATAATAATCTGCACCATGAGGGTTATTTGGAGCTGGGCTGTTTGCCAGGGGATGGTGCTGTAGTATCTTCATCAACAGGGTTATTTCAGTGCCCGGGAAGCAGCCCAGAAGTACAGTGTTGGGCAACGCCATTAATGAGAGGGCGCCGTGTGCTTAGTGTCTTCCTATGCGCTGCAAATGGATGTGTAGGAAATGCACAGTGTCTGATTTGGGGTGAAACCTGAGCATTTTAGTCACCTAGTGAGATGTTGCTCATGATTTCATGTTTAGCGATGGACATTGCGCTCCTAGCTAGCAACATTATGTTCTGTGATATAGGCAAATATTTTTTTCTTCAGTTTTTAGAATTCAGACTGTACAGGGCAGCCCTTGGTTTCCGGGTGAATGAGGAATGATGAATGGAACGATTTAGGTGACCCCGCGTCTGAGTTGGGGAGATTCATTATATCTGTTAAATCTGGATTTACAAAGGACTGGAACAGAACGTCTACTCTGAAATTTTAAATCATTTTATCTTCGATTATACAGAAGATGTTTGAAAAACCATGGGCCATTTTTCTGCTAAAGAAATGGAACGTTATCAAAGCTTAATAGGGTGTTTCTTTTATACTTGATTTTCCCTGAGAAAGAGGGTGGGAAAGCATTAAAGTCAGTATTTTCCTTCATATTTGTCTTAGCGTCTGCACGACCTGAGAGCAATAAATGTAAATGGAGGTTCAGGGTGTCTGTTTTACCATGACACGTAAAGACCGCCTGGGGACTTACATCATTAGCAGGACCTCGAGACGTGAAACATGCGTTTACTGACCACGCCGTTTGGTCGCATTGACTCCGCTGCAATTAGACCCTGCTCGGGGCTGTGAGCTGGCCAGCTTTAATTTCCGGGCCGGCCGGCTATTGTCACCTCGGGAAGACCATGTGACTCCTGCCGTGGGCTCGGCGCTCAGCGGAGGACATCGCCAGCACGAGTGGCACTGTTTTCCTGACCCGTCTTCCTTTCCTTCCAGTCTAGTTTGATCGACCTCAAGGAGCACGCGTCGTCACTAGCCTCGGCAGGCCTGAAAAGGGACTCTAAGTTAAAGTCTCTAGAAATAGCCATCGAGCAAAAGAAAGAAGAATGTAGCAAACTGGAAGCACAGTTAAAAAAGGTAAGTGACGCCTAAGAAAAACCACGTTCATGTTGTAGTGAATTTATAAAATGGGAAAGGAAAAGAAACCAACCCCTTATCTTCAGCTGTCTGCTGATAAAAGATTTAATTAAACACGCTTAACGTTATTCCTAAGAAAGTCTGCATCAAATCTGTCTGTGAACCTGAAAAATTATCTTAGGTTTCCTGTCTGAAAAAAAAACAAACACACACACACAAAAGTTTGAAAAATACATGAAAATAGTAGTGGAGGTAAAAAAAATATAAAAGCCAGCCATTACTCCCTGGGCAAATCTCAACTATCAAGAGAGATACATGGAAATATTTGCAACAAATCCAAGAATCCCGGGGCCGGGGAAATAGATCAGGTTTTCTAGTGGAACTTTGCAGAGTTTACCTGACAACATAAAATTTCTAGAAGTTCCCCTAAATAGACAAGCCCCTGGAATATCTGTGGGATGACTGTTTATGTTTGACCCAGAACGGCCCTAATTTCTAAGAAAGCCTGTTTCATGCGGAGGGCTTTGGAAGGGAAGGCAGGGCCTTGGTGCTGCAGCATTGGCGTGTTTTCTCGGAGCTGGCGTTTCTGTGGGTACATTCCCAGTCCTGCATCATTCCTTTGACTCCTTCCCTGTGTTGTTCGGTGCGTCTGCATTCATCGTTCACATAAAACTCATAACACTATGAGTTTAAGCATTTCGTTTCCCTTTGACAACTTATAAACTTATTCAAAGGAGATGATAAGAATCTAAACAATGAAACAAAGCATGCAATGCAAATTGACTATGTATAATTCCCAGCACACTGGAATGGGGATTTATTTGCTAAAGTTATGAAAATATACAATATGAATGATAAGGATGTGAAAGCATTATATAGCTGCAGATAAAGTATTCTGGATATCTTAAAATTTAATAGACTACTTTGTAGGATGCACTATATAACAGAAATATGATTGTACTGTGTTCACTTTACCATGGGATTGTAGGAAATTGTCGTGAGAAATTCCACACTCATAAAGTCTCCTTACCAATATAGAAAAGATAAATATACAGATCAAATCCCTTTGCAACAAAACAGCAAGAAAATCTCTATATTGCAAAATCTATTTCCCAATCTACTCAACATCTCACTCTTTTCGGGTAATATCTAGTTAAGCAGAAATCTTGAACAATAAATAGAAGAATTTAAATTGCCCATTTGAGGGTGTTTAAACGGAGATTGACTTGCCTATTTATGCAGTGGGTGTAGATATACATTCTTGACACATATGTAAATGCGTTCTGCAATAGGCTATACATGCACACGCATATCAAGAGATGGGATTTTTATTTACCAAACAGTTCTGCGATCACGAAGCAGGCTCTAAGGTAACTCTGTGAAAGAGGGGACGCCCTTGGCTCCCTTTGGTGGTCCTTTGTGTTATCTCACCCCTGCTGTATTGTGCTGAGCCCTGAGGAAGGAGGCCTCAAACAGACCTGGGCATGGAAGGTTCCCTTCGTCGACTCTCAGGAGCCTTTATGGAGATGAGGCGCTCCCTATATTACTTCTGCAGATTATTTTTCTAGACACCCTCCTTTTTAGTGTAAGCTATCTATGGGATTTGAAATCCTTTAGTAATTAGAAGGAAGAGGTTCATATATTGATGCTCATGGTTTCCATGTATATGACTTGACTAGTTTAATAAATCAACATCTGTGCAATTCAATTTAGTTTCTTTCAACATAGCTATGATTCGGCTGAGAAATCATTTCGAGCGTGTGGTTTCCTTTAACCCACAGGTAGACGCCATGTACTGAAATTCACAAATCAAATTCTGTAAACATTTTAGCATTATTCCTGACAACATTTTAATATTCTGCCACATCACTAGAATTAAAGTAACAAATATGCTTGTCTTGCTGTAAAGGACCTATTTAATTTATGAAAAGATAACTTATTTCTAAGTATATAAATAATGTCTGCTTATACTATCTCCTGAATGCATAGTACAGTGAGATTAAATAAGGTAATTATAATTTAAATATTTTCATACCTCACCTGCAGATGCTATTTTGTTATTTTTGGCTCTCTAGCATCAACTAAATTCAAAAGTTTAAAATACTTTTTCTAGTAGTCTTTAATTTCTGCTAATAAATAGTTCCGTAAAAACCTCAAGTACCCATCACCTTAAAAAGAATTGAGATCTACATGAAATATTTGAAAATATAAGCCAACAGTATGTGAATATACATATAAACACATCATTTACTCATGGAAAAGTAAGCAGCTATAAAAGCTTAAGGAGTGTCTGGGCCTCCCTTTAAATAAAAGGGTATGTGACTTGTGAATAAAATATAAAGGGTTACTAAATGAAAGCTGAAAACATAATAGTTTTATTATGTCATAAATAAACCATGAATTCCCAATGGAATTTTGCTCACGATTTGTGAGCGTCCAGGTATTTTTGCCATAAAATCTACACAATGTAGATGTGTTTAGCTGAACAGAAACCTTGTCTGCCAGTGACAATGGAATCCAAATGGTGATTTAAATTTGTTTTTTGTCTTATAAACAATTCTTGAAATTGGTAAGGTGAGTGATTGTATAAAAGTTTGTGGAAAACATTCCACATACATAGTTGCTTTTAACCCTTTACTATACTGTGTTAATTTAAGACATTTCTAAATACTTCGTGATGGAAAATGGTTATAGGCAGAAAAGGAACTGTTTCTTACACATTCCATCCCACCTCTTAAAAACAATGTGATCAAATGCTCACCTGTGAGGAAATCTTTACTGATAGGTTGATAAAATGGTACAAACCAAATAATGCATAGCTACTAGTTCTGCGTGTGCTTTGTAAATTAGTGCATTCATTCATCTTAAATAGACACCTAGGGATTGAGAAGAACTGATCAGTGATACATGGATCGATTTGTCTTTCAGAAGAATACTTGGTGTTCAATATGTGGAAGTAAATATACCTTATATGACTAGAAATCAATTGAGAAGCAACAGCAATGTGAAATGTTATGATTTATGCTCTTTGTTGATTTCCAATTAATATTATCTTGGAGGAGAGATATTTTAAAATCATGATAAAATTATCATTTACTTCATTAAATTTGAAGAAACAAAAAAATTCAGGGTCTTCAAATGCACATGTCTTAGCATAAAGCAAAGTAAAAATTTCCTACAGTATTTTACCTTCTGCACCTTGCTGTTGAGCCCCAAGTTAATGGTACAAGTATTTGGGAAATATAACTTGATAGTGCTATTTAAAATAATGTTTAGAACATTTAAATCCCCAAACATTTAACTCTCTACACAACAGACAGGAGAGCGTTGCAGATTCTTAAGCACTTAGAACATAGTAGGATGGTCACTAAAAATAGTATTTTTTATTATGAATTAGCAGTAGAAACTGGTAATGAGTGATGGATAATACTGTATTTTCATTCCTTTTGTTCTTCCTGCTGACTTAAATTTTTACTTCTCCCATTTACTGTTAATCCTGTAATGTCTTGCTTACTGATACTTTGCTATTGCTAACCTGCTGTTTGCTGATCTATGTTTTTCTAAAGTTAGACTGAATAGAAAATTCAGGCTTGTGTTAATATAAAAGAAGAGCTATAAATTCAATGATAAGATTTAATTAATCTTTTATTATTACCATCTTTGAAGTTCAGGTAATAAATTGCAAGCTTGGCCAAAAGTACTTCTTCTGATTCATTGCTAGAGGCCAGCACTTCATGTATCATCAAAAGTGGACAGCTTTCTTTATTTCATGGGTTATTTAACTTGAGAAAGGGAAAGTAACACAAACCTTAAATTTCTTATTCCAGCTATTCTTTTCTAGGAGCCAAAGTCAACATTTCTATTTCCCCAGAGCCTCTCACTTTCACTGTGGAATGTTTAGAAACTGAAATTTCTTCTTTTTTAACGACCAGTTCGTCTGTGCAAATGCACTGGATTTGTTGAGCTAATGCTGTTTTTCTGGATCTTTCCTTCTTTCCCTGTCTGTGCTTCAATGCCTCCCCACCTTTGCAATGTAGCAAGCTGAGCAGTTGTTCAATCAGATGTACAACCCAGTAAGTCATTTCTGAAAGTTCCCGCTGTAACATATCAAAGCATGAGGATCACTGATCACATGTCACAATGTGCCATACCGAGGAGGCTTCCAAAACATTTATGAGTCTCTTCCCCATTTCCGTTTTGTCAGAAGAAATGACCTGTGCCTAACCCACTGCCATTTCTTCTGAATGTGAAATATAAAAACTGAGAACTTAGGGCAACATTGCCAGTTTTAATATTACCTCCTTCTCAACGTCAGGTCTAAGGCTACAGCCGAGCGGAGGTGAGCTGCAGACCTAGGCTCATGGACTCCTTTCTTAGACCCTTAAATGCATCCTCACCTAGCAAACAACTCAGTGTACGCTCCGTTCAAATGGCAGAAGTTAAAATAGGTTTAGATTTAAACGTAGGGATATGCTCTCTGAGATTGGTAAATGCCTAACATGATTGTGGGCTTTATAAGAGTTAAAAACATGTCATTTGGCTGAAGACAAACTAAAATATAGCTTCCTAATAACAACAGATAGTAACAGTTCTGATTATAGCTTAGTGGTACCAAAACCAGGTAACTAGTAAAAATATGGATAAAATGGTCAAGATACCATCGCTGATGTTTTGATCCTAATGACAGGCATGCATTTATGTGAAGCAGTTTGTTTCTTTAACATATTGAAGGACTTTTTTGCTTTGCCAACTCAAGTTGCTTACTGGGAGAAATATCACCTAAAGGTGACCGGGCTCTGTCATTTGGCAGGTGTGACCTGTGCCACCATGCATTCTAATGACCTCCTGTGTATGAATTCCCATCGCAGGGAAAAGGAGTAGCATGGATAAAGGAGACCCCTCAGCCCACCACTTTTTGTTAAGTTGCTGCGCCAGGAACTACAGCCAGAAACTTAGGATGCTGGGGCTGGGGTCGGGGGTGTCGTATCTAATTAAATTCA